TATCAGAGACCATTTAAGATTATCAGGATAAACGAATATGCGAACTAAAAATCAAATATTAAAAGAATATGGGGAAAAGGATATAAACAAGATTAAAATGAAATAAATGTCTTGCAATATAATACTACCGCACTACAATGCAACAATATAGTGATGTAAACATATACGACTATACCAATACATTTAAAAAAACTTGAGGTGTATTCGGGTTATGGGGCTAATAAGGTTGGGGTTATTGTAGGGGCCTATCGGGCAGCCTACGGTTTTCTATATAGGGTTCTAGCGCATCCTCTGCATTTGTTCAAGGGGGTTTCGGGGTTTGGGCTTTTTAAGCTTCAGGGGTTTGGCGGGCCCACGCTGTGTTTTAAAGGGGTTTAGAGGCCAAGGTCTCTTTGGATCTACAAAGGGTTTAGGGTTTAGGGTTTTTAGGGTTTCTAGGGTTTGTAGGGTTTGTAGGGTTTGTAGGGTTTGTAGGGTTTGTAGGGTTTAGGGTTTAGGGTTTAGGGTTTGGGGTTTGGGGTTTGGGGTTTGGGGTTTGGGGTAGGGGTTCAGGGTTCAGGGTTCAGGGTTTTTAGGTTTGTTGTTGAGCTTTGAGGTCTAGCTAAGACCCGACTCACCTGCCTGCAACCCGGCTCGACACGCGGTCACGCAAAAGCCGTAGGCAGCTGCGTCCGGGCAACTGGCGGTGAGGCTGAGGAGTTTGGGCGTTCAGGGCTTTAGGAGAGTTTAGGGTTTCAGGGGTTTCAGGGTTTCAGGGTTTCAGGGTTTGAGGGTTTGAGGGTTTGAGGGTTTCAGGGTTTCAGGGTTTCAGGGTTTCAGGGTTTCAGGGTTTCAGATCAACATGCTTCTGGCTTTGAAGGTTCAGGGGCTTCAGGGCCAGGGACAAGGTAGGGCAGGGCTTTCGGGCCCAGATTCAATGCGGCTCCAAAGTTCTCAGGATTGGTTTAGGGTTTAGGGTTTAGGGCAAGTTTAGGGTTTAGGGTTAGGGTTTAGGGTTTAGGGTTTAGGGTTTAGGGTTTAGGGTTTAGGGTTTAGGGTTTAGGGTTTAGGGTTTAGGGTTTAGGGTTTAGGGTTTAGGGTTTAGGGTTTAGGGTTTAGGGTTTAGGGTTTAGGGTTTAGGGCTTAGGGTTTAGGGTTTAGGGTTCAGGGTTCAGGGTTCAGGGTTTAGGTTTTAGGGTTTAGGGTTTAGGGTTTAGGGTTTAGGGTTTAGGGTTCAGGGTTCAGGGTTTAGGGTTTAGGGTTTAGGGTTTAGGGGGTTTTGGAGGGTTTGGGTCGAAATGGCCCGAACAGCAGCTCACCATTGAACACCCTCAATCCCAACATGCTCAAGCATCAAAAGCAGACGCTTTTTTGCCTGGGTTAGCAGGACCTATGAGGGTTAGGGCTTGGTACTTGGGCTTAGGGAAGAGAGCGGATTCCCCTCCAAAGGACCCCCCCCCCCCCGCCCCAAATAGCCCGCTTTACAAGCTGCAGGGAGGTCTCCACTCCGCAAAAGCCCCAAACCCTGAACCCCCTAAACCCCGAGTCCCCCAAACCCAAACCCTAAACCCCTCAACTCATATTCCCCCAAACCCCCTAAACCCGATAACCCCCCACGCCCTAACCCCCAAGACCCACACCCTGTCGACCCCTCGTCCGCGCCTTTTTAATGGCGGTCTTGTAGTGGCTGACAAACAGAGGCCGTCGCTGAACATTGCCAAAAGACTTCGCGCAAGACCTCGCAGGGCATGTAACCTAGGTGTGCAGGGTTTAGGGTTTAGGGTTTAGGGTTTAGGGTTTAGGGTTTAGGGTTTAGGGTTTAGGCTTCAGGGTGTAGGGTTTGGGGTTTAGGGTTGCCTACCCCGGAAAACCACTAAAGCCTAAACCCTAAACCCTAATAAACGCTGAACTCCAACTCGAACCCGGCAGACACACTCCAGGAGCGGTTCATCGGAATAACTAACGAGTAGTAGGGTTCAGTTTAGGGTTTAGGATTTTTTTGTGGTTTAGAGTTTAGAGCTTCGGGTAAAGTAATTAATAATTTAATAGTACCCCCTCAGAGGCAAAACCCTTTTCTACAACTTCTGTGGCCTTTCGTGGGGTTTCAGTCGTGATGCATTCCAAGATTTGAGGGTTCAGTGCTTAGGGGTTGAGGGATTTAAGGGTTTAGGGTGCCAAAACAGAATCAACATTTAGATCCCCGAAAGCCCTGAAGCCCCAACACTCTAAAAGCCTGGAAGCCCTACAAAACCTAAATTAATACCCTAAAACCCTAAAGCCCTAAAATCCCTAAAAGCCCTAAAGCCCCAGAAACCCTAGAAGCCCCTAGAAAAACCCGGAAAGCCCAAAAATCCCTAAAAGCCCCCCCTAACGAAAACCCTGAAAGCCCTAAAACCCTAAACCCCTAAAGACCCTAAACCCTAAACCCTACAAGCCCCGAAACCCTAAACCCCTAAACCCTGAAAGCCCTAAAAACCCTCAAGCCCCCCAGCACGTGCCTGCAGAAAGCCGTGCAAGAGGCCACGCAGGTAGAAGGATCCTCCCAGTCGAGTTGGGGGTTTAGGGTTTAGGGTTTAGGGTTTGGGGTTTAGGGTTTAGGGTTTAGGGTTTGCAGCTTCGGGTTTAGTTGAGGGTTTGGGATTTAGGGTTCAGGGTGTCGGGTTTTTAGGGCTGAGGGGGTAATGCGAACGGTCTTGAAGACGATCCTGAAGCATCAACTTGGGGATCTTTACACCGGAGGAATTACGAATTTGGGATGCTACGGTTTAGGGTTTAGGGTTTAGGGTTTAGGGTTTAGGGTTTAGGGTTTAGGGTTTAGGGTTTAGGGTTTAGGGTTTCGGGTTTAGGGTTTCGGGTTTAGGGTTTAGGGTCTAAGGTTAGGGTTTAGGCTACAACATGGCTCGCCTGCACTTGCTCTATGGTGCTCTGCCGCATAGGCACTTTAGGGCGAAAGGGACGGTTTTACCCCTAAACCCTAAACCCTAAACCCTGAACCCTGAACCCTAAACCCTACACACTGTAATGTTGACTTGACATTAATAAAGCCCGCTACAATTATAAAATCCCGCTGCCCGGAACACAATAATGTAACCCGCCACAATTATAAAATCCCCGCCCGCAATTATTTTTTTTCGGGCGATGTTGTGCAACTAACTTAAACTAATACTACGTCCTACCAGGATTTAGGCGGATATTGTTGAGGAGGCCCTGGCCGAAAAGATTGATCAATGAAGGGAAGGGGGGGGGGGGTTTATTAATGCGAAGTCAACATTAGGAGTGTTCCAGCGTGAAGAATCCAAGACTTGTTTCGTGCGTCAACACACCTGTCATTCAAGGGCCTTTCCTATAGTAATAATGGGGCCTTGTAAGAAGAGAACAGAAAAGGCCCCCGTAACTTATTTGTATGAAAAGCGTGCGATAAAAGAATGAATGAGCACGCACGAAATAAGAAAAGAAGTGTAGACGCCGGGCGCTTATTCATTTCGTCTATTTGCCCGGCACAATATTATATTAGCCTAAAATGAATACTAATATGGTCAAGATCTGTTCAGGGGTGAGGACTTTGGCCTCCAGACTTACAGAGGGTTGGGTTTAGGGTTTAGAGGTTGGGGCCACCCCTCCCCGACCCCCCCGCCCCCCCCCTCCCCCCCGCCCCCCCCCGCCCCCCCCCCCCCCCGCCCCCCCCCCCCCCCCCCGCCCCCCCCCCGCCCCCCCCCCCCCCCGCCCCCCCCCCCCAAAAAAAGGCTCTTGCAGGTATGAGTCGAGTGTACTGAAAGCTATGATTGTGTCAATCTTCATTTTGACCCTGTCAGTTGCTATGTTGAAGTTCAAGGCCCTACATACATACCCAAAACTTCAAACCCTTAACCCTGAGGGTACTCAATGGGCACCAAGCGCCCCAACTTCTAAAGCCCAAACCTCTACCTTACCTAAAGGGCTCTCTGGGTTTTGGGTTGTGGTGCAGGGTTTCGGGTGGCATGCGCCTGGAAGACTCCGGAAGCAGGATTTCGTATTCTCCCCCTCTCCCTACCCCCCCCCCCCCCCCCGGTGCCCCACCGCCCGTCCCTCAACCCGAAACCGACAACAATCCCAAACGCTGAGAACCACCCTCATCTACTATTTGCTTCAGAGCCCCCCCCAAAAAACAAAGACAACACTCCGCATTTTACCCTTATAAGGAAGAATAGAATGAAATCTTTGTGGGGGGGTCTTAGAACCAAATAGCAGTCATCGCTCAGACCGCAAGAGCCGGTCCTGCGCCAGGGCCTTCAGCTTGTGGAAGTCTGCCTGGTCTCTCAAGGGGTTTAGGGTTTAGGGTTTAGGGTTTAGGGTTTAGGGTTTAGGGTTTAGGGTTTAAAACCCACGGCTTGAGGGGGCTAAACTCTGCGTTCCAGAACAGATCCTCTTCAGAAAATAGGGTTTAGGGTTTAGGGTTTAGGGTTTAGGGTTTAGGGTTTAGGGTTTAGGGTTTAGGGTTTATGGACGTCCCAAGAGCCTGCTTAGTTTGGATCAGAAGAAGGAAGGAGCAGCAATTAGGGGCCCAAAAAACACACACAAACATCGGATTCTACAAACAGGGTCTTCCAGAATCCCCCTTATGGGAGCCCTTATACCGAAATAGCAGGATCCTTGCGTTTACATGGTCTTTGGGCCCCTAGGCAATTCCCGACGCCTACTGCCCTTTCAACCTTAGATCCCAAAGCCCCTCAACCCTAAACCCTAAACCCTAAACGCTCAACTCCCAAAGCTTCAGGCCTCAAGCCCGAAACCCTAAATCCCTTACAACCGAAACTTTTGGATGAACCCTCAAACCCTAAGAACTTCCTTTGCCTCTGCTTGAGTGGACCGCGGGAGGGGGGGGGTTTCAGGGAGGGGTTTAAGCCTGCCTTCAGGTCTGAGGGTCAACCCTAAACCCTAAACCCTAAATCCTAAACCCTAAACCCTAAACCCTAAACCCTAAACCCTAATGGGAGGAGGGCTTGAGTTGGAGGGTTTAGGGTCGATCGATGATTTGAGATTTGTCAGGGCTTCAGGCAAGTAGCCAGGAGCTCCGTAAGGGCCTCATACTGCATGAACTTCCCGTGGTGGACGGGGCAGACTGGTACCTATGCTTCCCTTAGAACCCCAATGTAAAGATTCGCTTGTGTTGTGTACCAAAAAATAGGAAAGCTGCAAAACACAATTCCTTTATAGGGGTACTATAGGCTGTGCATAAAAAACCAACGAAACTGGCTCCTAAGGGGGCATTGGGTACGACCAGAGCTTCCACTTCCACCATGTTGTTGAAGCTAACAGCAGTGCCCGCAGGGCCTGGCACATCCTGTGGACTTGGGTGTTTCCTGAACCCTAAACCCTAAACCCTAAACCCTAAACCCCAAACCCTAAACCCTAAACCCTAAACCCTAAACCCTCTTGGGCTTCAGGGCTCTGGGGCTTCGGCGCTTTGGGGTTTATAGGGTTTTGGGGGTTAGGGCTTTGAGGCTTTGGGTGTTTGAGGTTTCGGGATTAGGGTTTAGGGTTTAGGGTTTAGGTTTAGGGCTTAACCTTCAAGCTTGTATGTTGTGCACAAGCATTCACGCCCTGCCCCCTCTAGGGTGTCCCCGCGACCTGTGGTTCATGGGAGGTTTAGGGCTTTAGGTTTTGGATTTCCCGCCTGCTCATAAAGGTCTGAAGACCTAACACAAAGCAACAATCCTGTGGACTTGGGTGTTTCCTAAACCCTAAACCCTAAACCATAAACCCCAAGCTCGCGAAAGTGCAAAACACCTACAGCCGGAAACCTCTACATCCCTGGGCCGCCCTATACAGCCCTAAACCCTAAACCCGAAACCCTAAACCCTAAACCCTAAACCCTAAACCCTAAACCCTAAACCCGTAAGACCCTGAGCCCCCTGAACTCCAAACCCAACACCCTGAACCCACATAAACCCCTAAACGGCCAGGCCCTCTAAACCCGAAACCCTGAACCCTCACAAAAGCCATATAACTCCCCCGAAAAGCCCTGGGTCCCGCTAAGCACCCCCAAAATGAAGGGGTTTAGGGTTTAGGGTTTAGGGTTTAGGGTTTAGGGTCTTGAGGGTCTTGAGGGTCTTGAGGGTCTTGAGGGTCTTGAGGGTCTTGAGGGTCTTGAGGGTAGGAAGCGTTTGACGGCGTCCACACTGGAGACCTGAATCTGATCTCTACCAAAAAACCCCTGACAACCAAAAAGCCGCAGTCCTTTTGCACCGCCGGCGACAGAGAGCTATCCTGGTTTAGGGTTTAGGGTTTAGGGTTTAGGGTTTAGGGTTTAGGGTTTAGGGTTTAGGGTTTAGGGTTTAGGGTTTAGGGTTTAGGGTTTAGGGTGTGGGGTTTTTAGGGTTTCGGGTTTAGGGTCAGGATCAAGGGCGGCTTATGGGCTTTTTGGGCTAAGGGCTCCTCCAGGGCTGAGGGTTTAGGGTTTCGGGTTCAGGGTTTAGGGCTTCGGGTTGTGTTTAGGGTCTTTTGTAGGGTTCAGGGTTTGGGCTTTTGTGGGGTTTAGGTTTAGGTTGTAGATGGTTTAGGGTTTGGGGGTTCTCCAGTTTCAGGCTGTATGTGTACATGTGTACACTATGTAACTATGTATATATGCATGTATGCATGTATGTATGTATGTATGTAGTCATGTATAAACATAATGTTTGGATTTTCAAAAGGGCTGAAGGCTTAGGATGTCAGGTTGTCGCCGAACGAGCAATCACAGTTTTTATGGAAAGCCGCATGGTGGGATGATCTAGAGTCTGCGCCCTCTTCTGTGGGCAATACAGCACCTTCATGACAGCTTAGGAAACGTAACCAAAGAGGGCCCGTTAAACCTAAGCCCTAAACACTAACTCCCACATCTTGGTTTCCTTCGGGTGCAGGCCGTTCCTCATCACTGTCCCTGTCCTTGGACATGGCGTCAGAGGTGATGCCCGCGTGGCTGGAAAACATGCGGCGGAAGCCTCAAGGTACAATCAAAGGCAGAGAAAGGCCTTGAAGCCTGAGCCCCCCCTAGACACCTCAGACCTAGACCGTCAAAAATTGGCGGAACCTCGGAACCTCTCCCTTAAAACCTTTAGCACAAACCTCCCCTGACCTTTAACCTATGCCACAAAAACCCTAAACCTAGACCAAAGAACACGCGCCCCGAAGGGGGATGATCTGGAGAAGCTCTAGGGCTCCAATTGGCTCAAGGGCTGTGGGGTCTTCGCGTTGAGTGCTGCCGTGGCTTCGGAACCCTGAACCCTAACCCCGAAAACCCTACACCCTAAACCCTAAAGCCCATACTCTTGAGGGGATTCAGCGTTGAGAGCTGTTAGGGGGCTGGAAGCAGCTGATCTGCTGCGCCAGCATGGGTCCCGACTTGGAGGTGCCCAGTCGCAATCCACCAGATGATTCGGTTTAGGGTTTAGGGTTTGTGGTTTAGGGTTTACGCTTTGGGGTTTGGGGTTTAGGGCTTAGGGTTTACGGTTTAGGGTTCAGGGTTTAAGGTTTAGGGTAAACCCAGCAGTGGCGGATGAAAAACCCCATGTTTTGGGGCTTCCGCGACAAAACGATAGGAGGAGCCAACATCGAAGAGGGATTTTTGGAGGTTCCTCTTCGTTAAAACTAAACTTCACCAAGCCGAATACCCAATACCCTCAACCCTAGACCATAAACGGCGAAGATGCTTTTTGTATTTCTCCGGGGATGCTTTTCCTGGGTCCTTTGGGAAGTGGCTTACAGGATTGCAGACACAATGCAATGATTCCGGCATTTTTCATTGCTAACATAGTAGAAGTCTTTCGCGTGAGCCGTGAGCCATTGTGCCTTGAGGATGTTCACGAGGGTTTGCGCCAGCCCCCTCAACTTGACGTGTCGCCATGTTACATGCTTGGATGCCATGTGGGTTTGCGTTGCTAACACGCTCAGGTTGCTTGTTGAGCATCAAGCCGTTGCGCATATGAACTTCCGTGCCGCTGCAGCCTCCAAGATAAAACTAGCACATGAGCCGTCTGATTGTAGGCAAGCGTAACCTGCCCCCACAAAAAACTGGAAACTCAGTCGTCCGATTTCCGCGTGCGCATCAAGAATGCCAGCGCCAGCCAGCGCAACAGAACCCCGACTCTCTAAAACCCAAAATACCTTTCTTTAGGTTTTGCATAAAAACAACCTAAATCAAGAATTTAGGTTGCAAATAACCGAACAAAAAACAAAAGCATAAGAAATCCATAAGAAATTCTTCTGGGAAAGTCAAAAAACACATCAAAAGCTGAACACACGATCGTCAATTAAACAAAGCTCAGGCAAAGCAACAAATCACAAGAAAAACCATTGGGACAAAACAAGACACGCGCAAGTAAATCACTCAAAGTGTGGGGTTGGGGGAGGGGCGGGGAGGGGGTTGAGGGGGGGGGGGGGGGGGGGCGGAACGCATTCAAATTGTGAGCTAGTCTTCAGTGGGTCACACTTGTGTGTAAAATTTAGGGCTTAAGGTTGGGGCTTAGGATTAGACTTGCGTGCAAGTGTACACGTGGCGTTTACGTGAGGCATGGCACTTTTCTACATGAGTTTTCTTACTCCAGGCATGCTAATTTTACACGTGGCAAGTACCGGGTCAGGATCTGGGCTCAGGGTTTCGGGATTGCATTCAGTCTTCCATCTTGTTACCTGTGCAGTGCTGGGGAACGGCGGCGAGTCCTGCGCCGGCAAAGGAGCTGTGTAGCACAGCAACGGGCCAGCTCCTGCTATAGGCATATAATGATTTAAAGTGGCATGCGCCAGCACCTGCCCCAAAAAGGCTACTGCTCACTTTGTCAGGAACTCGCTTGAACCACACCCAGTACCTTGGTTTTGGCCCAGGGGCCAGACTGTGACGGGCTCCGTCCACGACTTCCAGCACCACACCCACTGCCTTAGAAAATGCGCGCGACGGTCCTGCTGCCTTCTTGTCCTTCTTCCTGCGAACATCGCCGTTGCCTGCTCCGTCGTCCTCGATATGTCTCGAGCATGGCAATGTTTAGCAAAGGACGCCTGTTTGATTGGACAAATGTAACGCAGCCTGTAAACGTCCAGCCTGCCTCACGCACAGTGGCGGGCAGGAACTGACGGGCGGTTCCAACCGAGAAGTAGGCCTTCTTGGAGAGCCTCGCTTCGCGTTGAATCTTGAAACGAGGGTTCTCGCTGAGGGGTTCAGACGCCTTCGCATGCAAGCATCAAGGTCGGGCTGCGGGTGTGCCTCCTTTCAAATCGAAAAAGTGGGGTCTCGCAGGATGACGCCGGCGAGGGATTTCAAGCCGGTAGCCCGGATTGGGCAGCGCGCACGGCCCACCTCATCGTGACGTATGACACTCACGGTGATGCTAGTAAATTTTGCGGGAAAGGCCTGAGAATCCGGACGGGCAATCGCGTGTCAGCGTCCTGGCCTCCAAGGACAGGCTGCGGCCGAGGCTGTCTGCCCAATACCCAGGCTGCCCATCGACAAGCCGAGGTTCGCTGAGGTCATCTGATATGACCACCAGTGGTTTCCAACACCGATGCCACAACATTTGGGCTTTTATACGGTTAGGTGGATCAACTTAAACCTGCTCCTCTGCGAGTCGGCCAAGTCGCACGCAGCGCTGATGGACTTCACCATCGACCCTGTCGTGCGTACTTTCTCGACACCCTTCTTCCGGAAGGCCGCGGACATGCCTGTTGCAACCTTGTGAGCGGAACGCTGCGTTAACCTTCAACCTGAATTTCAGCCATAAGCACTGCTGTGAACTTTCTGGGAAGCACACATCCAGTGTAGTTTTATGAAGAGTGTGTCGCTGCAATATGCCCGAATCGTCGTGAGGTTTGTTTAACAAAAGGTGACGCTTTCGAGTTGTGCCCAAGCCTTATAAGGGTAGTTGCTAAAGCAGACCCAAAGGAAATTGTCTGCCATGGCGATACTCTCACAGCCACTGAAGCTTAAGGAGCTGAATCTAGAATCTTATCGCGTCCGTGCAGTAAAGTGGTTGGGAGCTGTCTGCATTTCCTTTCTACAAGCGCGTGTGTGTGTGTGTGTGTGTGGCAACGGATGCTTTGGGTCTGGGGATGTCGTGGCTTTCGGATGTGGGCTGACGGTTGGGGTGTAGGGTGTAGGGTTTAGGGTTTAGGGTTTAGGGTTTGGCCCCCCCGCCACACCTAGGCAACAAGCGTCCTGCACCTAGGAAGAAAACGGCCCCGCCACTCCTAGGAGAGTTAGGTGGATCAACTTAAACCTGCTCCTCTGCGAGTCGGCCAAGTCGCACGCAGCGCTGATGGACTTCACCATCGACCCTGTCGTGCGTACTTTCTCGACACCCTTCTTCCGGAAGGCCGCGGACATGCCTGTTGCAACCTTGTGAGCGGAACGCTGCGTTAACCTTCAACCTGAATTTCAGCCATAAGCACTGCTGTGAACTTTCTGGGAAGCACACATCCAGTGCAGTTTTATGAAGAGTGTGTCGCTGCAATATGCCCGAATCGTCGTGAGGTTTGTTTAACAAAAGGTGACGCTTTCGAGTTGTGCCCAAGCCTTATAAGGGCGGTTGCTAAAGCAGACCCAAAGGAAATTGTCTGCCATGGCGATACTCTCACAGCCACTGAAGCTTAAGGAGCTCAATCTAGAATCTTATCGCATTCGTGCAGTAAAGTGGTTGGGAGCTGTCTGCATTTCCTTTCTACAAGCGCGTGTGTGTATGTGGCGGCTTGCGTGGCAGCCCAACTCTGGCTGCAACAAACATGCTGGTTACGCGTGTCAACAAGCGTCATGTAGCCGCAATTTTCACTACGTGGCAGCTGCATTTGTCTGGAGTCTTTTTGTCCCCGGCGCCGGGGGGAGGGGCGATTTTTCTCAGGAGTGGCGGAGCCCTTGTTCTTCTCCTAGGAGTGGCGGGGCCGTTTTCTTCCTAGGTGCAGGACGCTTGTTGCCTAGGTGTGGCGGGGGGGCCAAACCTTAAACCCTAAACCCTAAACCCTACACCCTACACCCTAACCGTCAGCCCACATCCGAAAGCCACGACATCCCCAGACCCAAAGCACCCGTTGCCACACTGGCACCCTTCGAGGCCTTGAGCCCTAAAAGAGGGTTTAGGGTTAGGGTTTAGGGTCGAGGGTTTAGGGTTTAGGGTTGAGGGTTTAGGGTTTAGGGTTTAGGCTTTAGGGTTTGGGGTTTAGGGTTTAGGGTTTAGGGTTTAGGGTTTAGGGTTTAGGGTTTAGGGTTTAGGGCTTAACAAAAAGACACATGCGAGCCGAGCTGCGGGCAGGACGGGGCTTAGAACTGTTGAACTCCAGCTGCGACAGAAGCCCGGCGCCGCGCAAGAACTGCACGAATTCGTGGGAGGAGATCTCGCAACCTTTGGGGTTTAGGGTTTAGGGTTTAGGGTTTTGGGGCAATTTGGGAGTCTTTCGGACATTGGGTTTAGGGTTCAGGCGCGGGTTAGGAGTGGGTTCAGGGCTTTAAGGACTGGTTCTTATAGCATCCCCCTGGAAGGACGATTGCCTACTTGGAGGTTCATGGTACTTATTAACCGATTATGACTGCATTTATATATAGGTACAGTTACAATTGGTTGATAAGTACCATGAACCTCCAAGTACTTCTAGTAAAAGCCAAGCTAAAGCCACGATGACTTAACCGCAAACCCCAAACCCTGGACCTTGTGGGAGGGCTTCAGGTCCGGGCTTGGGTACAGACGCTTTAAGGTTGAGGCTTTAGGGTTTAGGGTTTAGGGTGAGTCTTGGGACATTTGGGGCTTGAAGGTGTTTGAGGCCTGTGGGGTTTTTGGCCCCACTGCACGCCATGGGGCACGGGTTTCTCAGTTGCCGGTCGTTCGTCTCCTCGTAGACGACCACGTGTCGAAACGGACCTTGGCGGCTTCCAATCCCAACCCCACCCCGTCCCCCCATGGCCGGCACAAAACAGATCCCCTTCCTCCCCTTGGTAGCCAGTAACCAGATTATAATCTGGGCACCTGTTTGTTTCGTTTCTCACTGGAAAAGTGAACCCAGAACCAACAAAACGGGGCAAAGGGTACCACTGGGTTACCTTGTTTTCACAAAATGCGCACCTAAACTCTAACCCTAAACCCTAAACCCTAAACCCTAAACCCCCCCCCCCCCCCCCCCCCCCCCCGTCCCCCCTCCCCCACACACACCCAAAAAAGCAATGTGCACGCAGGGTACTGGTACAAGCCCGTCCGATAACTTTGGACAACTTCTCGTCCAGGGAGACTTTCGCAACCGGCGCCTGGTCCCGGCCATCCGAGTTCTTGCCTCGGCTCTAGTTTCGTTTACACCCCGAACCCTAAACCCTAAACCATAAATTTCTTGGAGTCTTGTGATATGGGAGGCCGTATGGCCTTTGGGGGCTTTGATTTTGGCATAGACTCTCTGAACAAGACTCCTAAGTAAGATTTTCTTAAAAAACATTGAGGGGACTAAAGACATCCTAAGGAACCCCTAAACCCTAAACCCTAAACCCAGAACCCTAAACCCTAGCAGAATCACACCCAGGCTGCGGCCAAAGGCAAGAAAGTCAACACAGGAGTGCCGGAAGATATTGGACGCCACATCCTCACTCTCCCACCACCACCTCGGCAGCCCAGTAGCCATGGTATGGTAAGCTTGTAAGGGTTTAGGGTTTAGGGTTTAGAGTTTGGGGTTTGGGGTTTGGGGTTTAGGGTTAGTATAGCAAGGGCACCCTTTTTGGGTGGTGGTTACTTGATAAGGCAACCTTGCCTCTTTGCGGCTGGCTACTTTCTAAGGGAACCTTGAACCCAAAAAAGAGGGAAAAAAAACCTAAACCCTAAACCCTAAACTCTACACCCTAAACCCTAAACCCTAAACCCTAAAGCCTAAACCCTGCTATATAAGGGAACCTGGAACCCAAAAAGAGGAAAAAGGGCACCACCGGGCTACCAAGCAACTGGTCGGAGTCGTCCTTGTACCCAAAAACTGTCCACAGGGCCTTGGGATCGAGTTCAAGACTGGTTTAGGGTTTAGGGTTTAGGGTTTAGGGTTTAGGGTTTAGGGTTTAGGGTTTAGGGTTTAGGGTTTAGGGTTTAGGGTTTAGGGTTTAGGGTTTAGGGTTTAGGGTTTAAGGTTCAGGATAAGCAACTCCATGAAGAACCTAAGGGTCTCAAGGGTATACATGCACCCGTCCTGCTAAACCCCAAGCCCTGTATACCCGAATGAAAGCCTCAACTAAACCCTAAAGACCTGGCCCATGCCGCGCCCCAAGAACCCCAACCCTAACCCTGAACCCTGAAACCCTGAACGCTAAACCCTTAGCCCTGAACTTAAAACCTGCACCCTAAACCCTACATCCTAAACCCTAAACCCTAAACCCTAAACCCTAAACCCTAAACCCTAAACCCTAGACCCTAGACCCTAGACCCTAAACCCCAAACCCTAAACCCTAAACCCTAACCTCACCGGGGGGCAGCCAGGTCGAATTGCGCCAGAATGCGTATTCGCCCCGATGTCCTGTGGTGGGTGGTTAAGGCTCCCTGGGTTCAACCAAGCCGAAAACCAAAACCCTCCAAGTTTTAGGTAAAGGGTTTAGGATTTGGGGTTCAGGGTTTAGGGTTTAGGGTTTAACGAAACCCCGATCTAATACCCTGTCCTGCAGCCTGGCGTGGGTGCATCGGGCTGAGCCAGGACAGGCACCGCGCGGCTGGCAGAATGGAGAAGCCTGGACACACGGCTTCCGGTGTAGGGTTTAGGGTTTAGGCTTGGGGTTTGGGGTTTAGTTTGGGGTTTAGGCTTGCAGCTTCGTAAGTGGGGGCTGTTTAGTGTTTCGGGTTTAGGTTCAGGAAAATGGTGCCCCTTGTTGGCTGAATGGAGATGTTTGTGAAGCTGGCAAGGCTTTAAGGAACCGAAGCCCAAACACAGGAGCAAGGGCACTACTGGTTTAGATTTTTGGGGGTTTAAAGGGGTTTCGGGTTGTTCTTTCGATCTTCGGATTGAGGGGATTGCAGGGCATGGCAAACACATGCAGCTTCTATCGGAGTCATTCACATATCCTGAGCCGCCAGGGTACTTCTGCATAACTTCCAACGCTGGTGTGTCCTCCGTCGTGTCGAGCTCGAAGTCATTCAGTTCTTTGGAGAGAATACTCCTGAGGGCAGTTGCGGTGTATTCCACTCCGCCTGCTCAAGGGATCTAAAGCACGGCGGTTTATCAGGACTCGACAGGGGAACCCGAACCATACGGTAGGAACATATTCGGGCATAGAAGGACCCGGGCCCAGGCAGGCGCATTTTGATTTGCTGTTATTTTGTCGGCTGCCTGTCTACCTGACATGAAGCCCCTGAAAACTCGACCCGTAGTCGACACACCCGAATCAGAAGATGGGCTCTAACATACTGCAACCCTAAACCCTAAACCCTAAACCCTAAACCCCAAACCCTAAACCCTAAACCCTAAACCCTCACAGGCCCCGAATGTCCTGGCGGCCATGTTTTCCAGCAACTCCTTAGAGGCCTTCGTAACACACCCGCCGCAGAGTTCGAGGACATCATTGGCAGTCACTACCTTGGCCATGGACTTGGAGTCATTGCACAAGGCGCCTGGTGCCAGGCATGTGACTTCTACCCCGTCAAGTATTTTGGGGTCCCTCCGGGTTCTGCTTGCGTTGTAGGTTTGGCAGCCTGCATAAAAGAAACCGTAACGGTACGAACAACCAGAGAGTGAGCGTATCAGGTATATCTGATGATATACATATAGATATACAAACAAACAAATATAGATATACGTATGTGTATATATATATGTGTATATATATATGTATATAATACACATAACAAAAATGAAATGAATACGCAGTAACAAACGTGACACCAATAATGGTGGGCATATAACAAGAATACGAATAAACAAATCGTCTATGATGAATATACTGGGCATGAAAATATACAAGATGAGCAGAAGAAGAAGAATCAGAAGAACAGGAAGCAGAAGAAGAACAAGAAGAATAAGGAAAGGAATAAGCGCGCTTCCACGTTCCCAAGCAGACTGGGAGTCAAAAGGGAGCCCTTCTGTTGCATGGGGTCTGGGGTTTCGGGCTTAGAGGGTGGGTTAGGGCTTTTATTGGGCTTAGGGTTCGTGAAACCCACTTTAACCGACCAAGAGCCAAGGGTCTTTGAGCTCCCAGGTTCCTTTTGGATCCACCACTGCTCCACTGAACTTCAGGATTGGGGGGGGCATCGAGACAGGCACCAGAGAAGTCCAGGGCTTGCACCATGTGAAGAACGATACCGATGATCATGATGAGTGATGATGATGAGTGATAGTGATGGTGATGGGGATGAGTGATGGGGATGGGCATGGGGATGGTGATGGGGATGGTGATGGTGATGATGGTGATGATGGTGATGATGGTGATGATGATGATGATGATGATTGGTATCATAAGGGTGAAAGCCTTGCTTAGGGGCTAGTGAAGCTTTCGGGTTTACGGCTTCAGGGGCTAGGAACTTAAAAAAAAATAGGGCTAAACTCCTCAAGCCCTAAACCCGAAACCCCTCTTTTGCATGTCAACTCTGGGTAGACGTTGGCGTGGCATGCAGACGCGCGGCTGCCCGAAGCTGTCCAGCGGTAAAGCAGGGCACTCGGCGTTGCCTCTCCATCACTCTGACTGTTGGGGTCGAAGTTTAGGGTTTAGGGTCTAGGGTTCAGGGTTTAAGGTTTAGGGTTTAGGGTTTAGGATGACATGACTCAGAGGAACACAGAGCCCACTAAAAACAAACACCGTAGGAAGACTAACCCATAATCCGGCAGCTCTAAAGCAAAGACCGCCCTAAACCCCCCAACTGAAACCTTGAGCTCTGAAACCGCAAAAAATCAAGCCCTAAACAACCCTTAACATCTTTTGGGGGGTTTCCAAAATTAGGGGTACCTTATTGGGGTCCTTATAATCAGGGGATCCTACTATTTGGGGGCCACTTTAGGGGTGCCCTATTTGCGTAAACCCCCTAAAACCCCCAACTGCCTCTCCAAACGGCCCTAGACCCGAAACCCTAAACCCTAAACCCCCAACTGCCTCTCCAAACGGTCCACCAGCTCCCTTAGGGGCAGCGACGTGTCGAAAGGCTCAAAGTCCAGACCCTTCCCTCGAGGGGTCTTCACCTGGAGACGCACAAGGGTTTAGGGTTTAGGGCTGGGGGTTAGGGTTTAGGGGTTAGGGTGTAGGTTTTAGGGTTTAGGGTTTAGGGTTTAGGGATTAGGGTTTAGTAAAGTGTTTCGGCTGGTTGAAATGATCGTGTTAACGGGCCCTATATAAACCCTGAAACACCTAAAGGTTGGGGTTGGGAAATCAGAGTTTAAGACTGAGGAATTAAAACGCCTAGAGGGTTCAGCGTTGCAGCAAAACCCTGGTGCTCCCTAAGCCCTAAACCTCAAACACCCAACCCCAAACCCTAAACCCTAAACCCTAAACCCT